CGTCAGGACATTCCGACGTAGGGTGCAAAAAAATAAACAAATGTCTAAGCTTGACGTTACAAATTTCTCTTGGGAGCCTATTTAAACCAACATGGGAGATAAGGCTCAAGAGAAAGAATCTAGATAAGAAATCAACAACAAAACACCACCCTTAGGACAATCCCCTGGGTTTGGCTCCAAAAAACACATACAATGAGATACAAAGAAGACTCGAAGCAAAGAAAACGAGAGTGAAGATACACTGTGTCAAGTCTTCATAATAACAACGGGCAAGTTAATAAGTCTCTCATCTAAAGAACAACATTTCACCCAATCACATGTCATTAATAACGTCGAGAGTGGAATGAGTGCCTTTGAAGATGGTTATAGGAAGTCCCCATGTATCAGCCAACTTCCTATTTTTATAGGAATATTTAATATTGCTAAGGTCCATGGCTTTGTCTCTCACCACACTTTTGATAGTATCGATAATAGTGCGAAAATCCTTGTACTCTCCCCCAAAGATCCTACAATTTCGCTCCCTCCAAACTAGACCCAGTAAACGGGTCAACACCCGCAGTACGCAGTACGAGTAAAGGTTTTATAACCCGTTTACATTCGACCTGTACTCGGCCCTATCCGTTTTCAAAACGGTTAGGCCTGGTTTACCTGTGGATACCTGTATTTAAAAAAAATTAGAAAAAAGTTTTATTTTGAAAAAAAATGTAAAATTAAAAATAATTATAGGATTAAATTAATGAATTATAGGGTTTCAAATTTCAATTAATCGGAACTTTCAAAAAGGAAAAAATAAAAAATTGAACTCTCTCATCTGACAACTCAAAAAGCCGCCGCACACCACAACTCTCAAAGTATATCGCCGTCACACCACGCACCAGACGCATGCTGGAGACAGTTGCCGCTCTCTCATTGGTTATCTCTGTCACTCCCTAGTCCCTACACCAGCCGCCATTGCTTTGATATCTCATCTCTGTCACTCGATCTCCACTCACTCCCAACTCCAAGCGCACGACACCCAACAGCCAGCGCGCGACACCTAGCGTCGCCAGCGACGCAGCGGCCAACATACAACCGCCGCGCGACTTAGCATTCAGCAACAACCAACAGATGTGTTTTTCAGTTTTTGGTTTAAAAGGAATGAATATTCTGAAGTTATGAAATGTTGAGATTTTTGTTTGTGGTTTGAAATATTGAGAAGTTGACTTGTTCTGTTGGTTGGGAGAAATGTTGAAATGTTGAGATTGAGAAGTGTTGAAATGTTTTGTTTGCCATTTATAATATATGTTTATGGTTATGGTATATGGATCATACAATCATTTATGACAGTCATGCTACATTGCGGATGGATTTGGAGGAATTGACTGATTTGCTTGGCTGGTGGTTTTTTTGGCATTTTTGGTTGTTTGTTTTGGTCTGTTGCCACTGGTGTTGTTGGCTTGGGTCTATGGCTTGGTTTGGGGATGGCCACAGATGGAGGTGTTAGAGGGTTTGGCTGGGGCAATGGAGGCTTGGTGTTTTTTGGCTTTGCTTTGGCTTGTGAGTATTGTGCTACTGGTTGGGGATTAGGTGTTGGTTTGTTTTGTTTATTGTTTTTTGGTTTGGTTTGGTTTGCTGCTGGTTTATGTGTGTCTTTGCTGCTGGCTTGGTTGTCTATTGTGCTGCAAATATGCTAAATTGTGTAGGTCAGCTGCTGATTCTTGTTCTATTGGCTTTGATGTTGTTGATTATGAGGTTGGCCTTGGGGTTTTTCTTCTTCTATCAGCGGGTTGGAGTAGGATTGGCAGCAAAGTGCTCAATAAATACCAAAGCTCACTTAAACCATATAATGCAAAATCTTTGTTATGTACTCGGACTTGGTTATATGGATATGAATGTAAAGGTAACATGTTAACTCAATATTTGATATTTCATATGTTTTATTATTTTCATTTATTAATATTTATAGTTGTTAATGGTAGATGATGATGAGATGGATCATGAGCTTCATGTGCCATTAACATTAACTAATGTGAGGAATGTGGAATCAAGAGACTCCACTCACACTGCCATCGGTCCATTGTGTTCTTGAAATCAACATTCAACATGAGCTAACCAATAATATTTTTAGTTGAAACAATGCCAAGTTATATTAATATTATGTTTTTGTATTTGGAATATTGTGTTTGTATTTTTGTTTATGTGTTAGTGTTTATGACTTTATGTATTTGTTTTCTATATGCTTGTTGGTGAGAAATTGATTTGTTTATGCACTTTTGGTGAATTGAATTGAATAGGAAGTATTTGATCTTGGGGGTGTAATTGCAAAAAATTAAAATTGTATAAATTTTGGGGTTGTAACTGCAAACATTAAAAATTGGAGAGAGAAAATATGGGTGCCCGCAGGTCGACCCGTACTCGTATAAGGTAGGGTACGGGTCCATTATTTTGGACCCGTATAAAATCAATCCTTTTTGGCCCGTACCTGTTTTCGTTTTGCCAAGTATACTCCAAACCCAATACACCGTAGCCCCCAGACAAAGCTTACCCAAGGTGACCTTTAGACTCTTACCTTTCCATTTCTTAGCCAAATGGGGGATGTAATCATGCCAAGGTCTAACCACATAGCCAATCAAGGTCAGCAATCATAAGGATCTTACTCCAAAGAGATTTAGAAAAGGGGCATTAAAAAAATAGGTGGTCAAGAGATTCCATTTCTGAGTTACAAAAACAACAATGAGCATTAGTACTAGCACCATACCTCATCAAATTGTCATTTGTAGGCAATCTCTCCTTAATAGCTATCCATAAGATCATAGAGTACCTTGGAATAGCCACACCAATCAACTTTTGCTCTTCTTCCTCTAATCTCCTCCCAAGCCGATTTGCTAGAGAAACCCCCCAAAGGTGAAGGTTGCCAACAAAGCTTGTCCTCAACACTAGAAGGTGTGAAATTCATGGAGTTTCTCATGTCAATAAGCGCCAAGAGTTTGCTCTTCTTCCTCTAATTGGCCATTTCCAATTGCACCCATCAATCACAACGCTTACCTTAGCATCCTTAACAATCCCTGTATCATAAATAATCCTATCCCCATAGGTGCAAACAAGGGGGCCCGTCAATCACAACACTCACCTTTGTTAGTGAAATGAAACTTCTGTTTTTAGAAAATAATATATTATCAATGTGAAATTACAAAAATAGAGATATTTAAAATAATTTTTTCCATTTTTAAACTAAATTTAAATTAAAGTTTTTAAATAAAAATATTAAAAAATTAAAACCTGGATCAAGAGTGGCTGACCAATCGCCAGTGGTGGTGGTCTGTTGCAACTTCCAGTGCTTGTCAAGAAACAATCAATTGTAACTTTATCAACAACCGAAGCCGAGTTCATATATGCAACTCCTTGTGCTTGTCAAGCTATTTGGTTTAGGAAAATTCTTGAAGAGCTATATTTCAAGCAAAAGGGAGCCATCGCAATTTATTGTGACAATAGTTCAACAATAAAGCTCTCCAAAAATCATGTTCTACATGGAAGAAGTAAGCATGTAGATGTGAAGTTTCATTTCTTAAGGGGTCTCACGAAGGAAGGATCTATTGATCTTGTCTGTTCTCTTATCTATTGTAGAAATGAAGATCAATTTTTTTTTTTTTTTAAATAATTGAGGTATGTGGGCACAATTAATAGTCGAGCCCGTCTAATTTCAAGGGCCACAAAACACCTTACAAACCCAATGGTAGGTGCCTCTCTTACATAAATATGATAGGCACCTCTCTTGCGTCTCGAAACAAAACCTCTAGGTATAACTAACATAAGTGGCTAAAGAGCTTGTTATCTAGCCACAAGGGGAGAGGAGAAGATCAAGTTGATGATATTTTTACCAAAACCCTCAAGTTGCCTACATTTCATAAGCAAAGGAGGTTGCTTGGCGTTGGCACCTGAATAGTTCTTATTAAAGTAAATGTTAGTGAAACTTTCAATTTAAGGGAGGATTGTTGAATGAGTCAAAATTATTTGTTATCTGGTTTTTAAGTGTCCTAGTTTTGGAGATTAGTTGAGTCATGTAGCTTGTAGTTGCCTAGTGGATAAGACTAGTGGTAAAAAAGCTTTATTATTATTATTATTTTTAATAACTGGTGATACTGTTTGGGTTAATTTACGTGTATTTCAACTAATTCCTTGGGACCTTGGAATTACTGGCCGTTTTTCTTTTTTAATAATTGACGGTGTCTAGGCCAGCTTACGTATACCTCCACTAATCCTCTAGACCCTGAAACTACCGATTGGGTAAGAGCACTAGCTTACGCGCACATCAACTAATTATCTAAGACCTTAGAACTACCGACTGGGTAAGAGCTCCAGTGGCTATCCCTATTAGCAATCGAGGGGGAACTCGAACTCAAGACCTTTTGAATAATACATCCAAGAGTTCTTATTAAACTACTCGATCACCTAGGGGTAGATGTTTTGAGGGGTAGATGTTTTGTGGTATGTTGCTATTTCTTTGGTTATTCCCGTTTGTGTATTGCCTATATAAAGGCTATAGAATAATGAAAATGAATATACAGCAAATTACTATTCACAGCAGCAGCTACTTCAGATTGTCTTCCTTGTTTTTGTTAGTTGTATTGTTCTTTATTCTGCAATTTTGTAACACTAGGAACCTGACGATGATATCTTAATCTTAATAATTTTTTTTTTTTTTTGCCAAAATTAAACAACTGATTGTTCTTTATTTTTATGACTGCAATTATGTAAGCGCTTACGTCACGTAAGCACTTGATCTTCAATAGTGAACAGAAGCCCGGCCACATGTTATGCAAAGGCAACAACAAATTTCAATTGTTTCTTTGAAATCAGGGTTAACGATAAGAGTAATCCTTCCTCCTTCGTACTTTACTAGATAAAATTTGGCCACTATCACCTGCCCCAATAACGGGACCAGGTTCATTCCCATTCTCACACCACAAATAAATAAGGATCATTTATCACCATCACCAATCACGAGCCACTAATCAATCGCCATGGGAGAAGTTGATCCAGCTTTCGTTCAAGCCCCTGAACACAGGCCTAAACTCTCAGTTATTGAAGCTCAAGGCATACCCTTGATTGATCTCTCAGTGTTGAGCTCTCCTGACGACACCTTTGAAGATGCTCTTGTTGCGGAGATAGGCGATGCATGCAAGAAGTGGGGTTTCTTCCAGGTGATCAACCATGGAGTGCCCCTGAAAAAGCGCCAGAGAATAGAGGAAGCAGCCAGGAAATTTTTCGCTCAGCCCTTGGAGGAGAAGAGGAAAGTTCGGAGAGATGAGGAGAGGGTGGTGGGGTACTATGATACTGAGCATACTAAGAATGTAAGAGATTGGAAAGAAGTGTTTGATTTAACTGTACAGGATCCAACCTTCATCCCAGCTTCGCTTGACCCTGATGATGAAGAAATAGATGAGTGGCATAATCAGTGGCCTGAGTATCCTCCCGAATTAAGGTAATATTTATTTGCAAATTTGTGAAATATATATATATTTTTTTTGAAGTTGATTTTGTCTCATCTATTCAAGTTGCTTGGTTATGGTTGGACACTTACCTCCTTCCAACTAGTTTTCAGAAGTGAGTCACGCATTTGCAGGCGGTAATGGGTTTGGATCTCAGCCTTGTTCCATGTCTATCAAGTTGCTGACAGTGGCTGGACACCCTCTTCCTTTAAACTAGGTTTTAGGAGCGAGTTTTACTTCATTTATCTGATCTAATCATGTTGTTTCGCCAGGGAGGCATGTGAAGAATATGCTAAAGAGATGGAGAAGCTAGCTTTCAAGTTGATGACTCTGATTGCTTTGAGTCTGGGGTTGCCTGGAAATAGATTCCAGGGCTTCTTCAAAGATCAAACTTCCTTCATTAGACTCAATCACTACCCGCCTTGCCCCGCCCCTAACCTCGCTCTTGGCCTTGGTCGACACACGGACGCCGGGGCCTTAACAATCCTCGCTCAAGATAATGTTGGAGGACTTGAAGTGAAGAGAAAATCAGACGGCGAGTGGATTCGTGTCAAGCCCACCCCGGATGCTTATATCATAAACGTTGGTGACATAATTCAGGTTGCAACTTCTAGTCAACTCAAACATAGATTAAATGTAAATACGCTTTGTTGAATTATGTAATCTGACAATGTGCTTGTGCAGGTGTGGAGCAATGAAGCTTATGAGAGCGTGGAGCACAGGGTAATGGCGAACTCAGAGAGGGAAAGGTTTTCGATTCCATATTTCTTGATCCCTGCACATTACACCGTTGTGAAGCCCTTGGATGAGCTGACAAATGAGCTGAATCCTGCCAAGTATAGAGCATACAATTGGGGAAAGTTTTTCACAACTAGAAAGCTCAGTAATTTCAAGAAGCTTAGCGTTGAGAACATCCAAATCTCTCATTTCAAGATACAGGAGTTATCAAACAAGCTAGAGGGAGGTCTCACTATCAATTAGGTTGCTTTCTGTGCATGATTCCCAGCTGTAGATATAGCAGAAATGAGGCTCTGTAAACATGGTTTCAGCCTAGTGCTACAATAATGTTATATGTAAATGGCAATAATGGGATTTGATGGAAATTATCTTTCTGGATTTTTCTAAGATTAAATTATGAATGGCCCATTCTTTAATGTGTATACTTGACTTACGAATAATAATAATCAAACTCTCTAGTGAAAGAGGGCTTTAGCCTTTTCTTGCAAATTGATTCTTTTCTTCATCACGATGGATAAAGTCGGCTCGAGTGCTTTCTTCTCTGTTCGAGCTGTTTCCAGAGGAAATAGATCTCTGTACGCTTATCAAAGTATACTCCTTTTTCTGCCATTTGAGGCTAAATTCAGGACATGATGGAACAACTACTCACATTATTTGCGAAGAGTTAATTACATTATGCCGTAGAAGTTTAATGAAATGTAACTTTATAAGTGGTAATAAACATATTTTGAATAAATGGGTTGGCATTCAAGAATAGTAACAATATCAAAACATACTAAACTAAATTTAAATTCAAGTTTTTAAATAAAAATATTAAAAACTGGATCAAGAGTGGCCGGCCAACCACCATCGACGGTGGTCTGCTGCAACTTCCTGTGCTTGTCAAGAAACAACCAATTGTCACTTTATCAATAACCGAAGACAAGTTCATATTTGCAACTTCCTGTGCTTGTCAAGCTATTTGGATTAGGAAAATTCTTGAAAAGCTACATTTCAAGTTAAAGGAAGCCATCGCAATTTATTGTGACAATAGTTTAGCAATAAAGCTCTCCAAAAATCATATTCTACATGGAAGAAGTAAGCATATGTGAAATTTCACTTCTTAAGGGATCTCAAGAAGGAAGGAGTTATTGACCTTGTCTATTCTCGTCATTGCAAAAGTGAAGATCAATTTTTTTTTTTTAATAACTGAGGTGTGCGAGCACAATTGCCAACCGAGCCTGCCTCACCCTCAAGGCCATGGAACACCCTATAAGCCCAATAAACCCAGGTAATTGCACAAAATATGGTAGATGTCTCTCCTACAACTCGAACATAAGACCCTTAGGTATGGCTGACCCTAGTAGCTAAAGGGCTTGTCATCCAGTCACAAGGGGAGAGGTGAAATATCAAGTTGTTGATATTTTTACCAAACCCCTCAAGTTGCCTATATTTCATAAGCTAAAGAGGTTGTTTGGCGTTTGCACCCTGAATAGTTCTTATTAAATTGAATGTTGGTAAAACTTTCAATTTAAAGGAGGAAGTGTTGAAGGAGACAAAATTATTTGTTATTTGATTCTTAAATGTCCTAGTGGAGATAAGAGTTGTGGTAAAAAAGTTTGATTTTTTTTTTTTGACCGATAGTGTTTGGGATAGCTTACAAGTACCTCAACTAATTACTGGGACCCTGGAACAACTGGCCGGGTAAGAGCTCCAGTGGCTATTAGCAACCGAGAAGGGAATCAAACTCAAGACCTTTTGAGTAATGCATTCAAGAGTCCCTATTGGACCATTCGACCATCCAGTGTTAGTTATTTAATGGTTTGTTGTTATTCTTTGGTTATTCCAGTTGGTGTTTTGCCTGTATAAAAAACTATTGAATAATGAAAAGAAATATACAGCGGATTACTGTTCATAGCAACATCTACTTCATATTATTTTCTTTGTTTTCATTAGTTGTATTGTTTTTTCTTCTGCAATTTTGTGACACTAGGAACCTAACGATGATATCTTAATCTTACTAAATTATTTTGTTATGCCTAAAAAATCAGGGCTAACGTTAGCCTACAAGCAAGCACTAATCAGAGTTCAAGAAGGCTTTGCGTCGCCCAGTAGCTACCATGTCGCTCCATGACAGAAGGAATATGGCTATCATCAACTTGGCAAATTCAGGTTTTGTCTATGAGTGATTGAGGGCCGCACACCTGTCCAAGCCCCAGATAATTTGAGGATATTTCTTAAGTTATCAGCCAATGGGAGGCAAGGAAGGACTTGCACGGTACCTACCCACTTACAGATTTGTAATCATTATCTTGAATTCCTCTACTATAAATAGAGGACTCCCCTTCTCATTTTTGGGATTCTGACACTGAACCCGCTTTCTGATTGTAATCTTTATTTTCAGAGATTGACTTGATATTCTCTTTGAATACTCAGTTGTTGTACCTCTGCTTGATGTTCGCTTTACACAACCTCTTGTAATCTCTCATATATAAAAGAAACAGTGGATGTAGGATTTGTTTTAGGCATTCGAACCACTTTAAAAATCATATCTCTCATTTATTGTTTAGTCTTTGTATCCGATCATAATCATTCACGTGTAATTTCTAAGAACAGCTTAGCACTTTGCACGTGCGAGTCATTGGTGTCATAATCATGCATCAACAGTTGGTGCTAGAAGGAGGGCTGATTTCATATTTGCTCTTTATTCATAATCTCTTATCAATTAGTTCTACTTGTGAACAAATGACTCGTGGTCTTGAAACCAAGCGAACTAGTACCAACAACAAGGAAATCCCCCAGGCACAGAGTGTTAATTCCCCTAAAGTACCTCCAACTTCCTAAGGTGCCGTGGAGGACATTCCCTTGACCTTTCAGCTTAATCCAACTGTGATGAATTACCTGAATAGGTTCAATAATACTCTCCAAACAGTTAGTCGAATGCTAGATCATTTGGAATAGGTTATGCCACCCAATTCTGATGAGGCGGTACCACCTCCAAAAACGCTTGTAAGTCACGCTAAAGTGTGGAAACGGGTGAAAGCTCATACCATGTGCATCACGGCACATAGAAATAAGGGAAAACAGGTGGCTAACAATGGGCTAAAATGCTCAAAAGGGCTAGTGAATACTGGTCGTGAAACAGGTAGAATATTTGTAGCTTTGTGACTTGGTGGTATGTCACACCATGAGCCGTCTCACGCCACATTGCATGGGCACCCCTATAAGAGTGTGCAGCATGGAGATTCCCATTATCACTGGAATGATGGTTTTGAACATCACCATAAGGGAAATACCCATCGGACACGGGTCAATTCTGACCACCGCGAAGGCTGGGATAACTCCTCTAGCCATTCAGTGCCTTCACATGGCTCTAACCCGCATGTGTCAAGGTATGTCAGAGGCTCTGGCTGAGGCAAGAAAGAGTTCGATCTGCGGTCTTTCCTTAATCACAATCATGGGAAGTGAACCCACATTGCGGAAAGTGATCCTCAGGTGGTTCTGCTTCCTTAGCTTGAGGAGTTACATCGAGCTCTGGATTAGCTTAGAGGTCATCAGAATGAGCGAGGGTAGGTTACTGAGGCGTCTCCCTTTTTTTTGGTAGTTTTGACTGCTCCTCTCCCGTCGAGATTTAGGAAACCCGACATGTGAGCATTTGATGAGAATTTTGATTTGCAGGATCATCTCTATAAGTTTAACGACCTCATAGAACTTCACCAAGTTTCCAACTTGGTGAAATTTCACTGCTTAGCAGTGACTCTAACTGCCCATGCTAAACGTTGGGTTTAGATGGCTTCCGCCAAGATCTATCAACTTATGGCAGTAGATGAGTTCGTTACTTTTGAGACACTTCCTGGCTAACAGGAAGTTCTCAATGTCGTTGAGCTATCTGAGCAACATACGACAAAAGAGGAATGAATTTCTCTAGTCCTATATCAACAGATTCCACTGGGAGTTTCATAAGGTGGTTAATACACCTAAAGATTCGGTTCAAACTCTTATTATTGTGGGAATCTGCCCGCAAACCGACTTGTGGAAGAAACTACAATATGAGGATGATATTTCCCTCACCTGCTTCTACAACCTCACTAAGAAATATCTCAGAATTGAAAATTTAGTGGCTGTCTTGAATCGCTATGACCCCAGTCCTTTGACCAGCATTCCCAGTCGAAGAGAGGAACACCGAGGAGAGAGTAGTAAAAGGCCTAATCGCAAATGGGTTACTGACGATCAGAGAAAGGGAAAGAAATATCGGTTTAAGCCTAAGAAATCTTATACTCAAGTTCCTTGTCGCGATCATGACAAGAATCAGTATACTCTATTAAATGTATCGGTATCAGCTATTCTGGATAAATCGGAAGAAGCTAATTTGCTCAGAGAGCTAGAGTCCATGAAAAATTCCTCTTCAATAAGAAATAACAAAAAGTATTGTCGTTAACATTGAGATAATGGGCATCATACCGATGAATGCTGAGCTCTTAAGCAGGCTATTGAAGACCTCATTAAAAAGGGGCACTTCAAGGAGTATGTTGATGGTCAAACTCCCATTCGGTAGAAGGATCAAGAGGAAGATGGGAAGAAGCATCGTGGTCGCAAGGGCCTTCCTATCGTCAGAATTATTTTGGAAGGTCACACCTCACAGGGAATTCTCAAGGTGCTTAGGAGAAGTATGCTTGGGAAGCTCGCCATGACCCCGTAAGTGTGTTAAACACGGCGCAGCAACCTGCCAAGGTGTGTAGAGAGAAGGAGATTACCTTCTCAGAGAAAGATGTGGTACAATTGCATCACTCTCATAGGGATGTGCTCATCGTTGCAGCTAAAATAGGTTGGTGCGAAGTCCATATAATGTTGGTGGATAATGGGAGCACCATGAACATCATATTTTAGTGAGCATTCAAGGAAATGCAATTGGAAGAGGCAGATTTGAAGCCTGCCTCTCCTCCTCTATGGCTTTACAGGGGATCATCTGATTCCCAAAGGAATGATTGCACTTTTTGTCACTTTGGGTGAGACCCACTAAGTGACCGAGATGACAAAGTTTCTAATGGTAGATTGTCCGTCCACTTTCAATGGCATATTGGGATGACCTTTACTTCGGAACTTCAAAGCTGTCACCTCCATCTATCATCTAAAGATGAAATTTCCCACTCCGACAGAGTGTAGGGAGGTCAAAGGGTCTCAGCATGAATCTCGCTACTACTATGTATGAGTAGTCTAGATGGCATGCAAAGGAAAAGGGAAGTTAGTGGGCGTTCTTGAGCAGGCTATGGTGATCAACAAGATCAAACCATAACCAAGTCTAGTGGAATAGTATAGATCCTCGTGTTCAAGAGGAGTATTCCCACAGTGGACATGTTAAAACTCTATTTGAGGTATTAGTCGACCAGAATGAACTGACTCGTGTGTTAAGAATCG